TATTTTGTGAGGAAAGATGCAATGCTTTTGCAATGCTTTTGCCACATGATTTAGTTTTTCTGTTAATAAAAAGCAAAAAAAAAATTACAATGCTAAATTCTCTACCAACTTAATATTAAAAAAAAAACAACAAAGATAATTTTGGAAGGGAAAAAACCCATTAGTAAAAACATTGTAGCAATTGACTATGTTTTGTTAGGAAAACTACAATGTTTTCCCCAATAAAATAAAATAAAAAAACCATTTAGAGAAATATTGCAACAATCCATAGTATTTTGTGAGAAAAACTACAATGCTTTCCCCATATGATTTAGCTTTATTATAATTATAATTCTTAATAAACTTAATATTAAAAAAAATTAACAAAGATAATTTTAAAAAAGTCATAAAAAAATGATATGGGAAAATACTATAACAATTCACAGTGTTTTAAAGAAAAAAATTACAAAGCTAAATTCTTAATCAGCTTAATATTTAAAAAAAAATGACACATAAAATTTTAGAAAAAAATAACAAAAAAAAAAAAAAAAGAGAAAAAAATCATGTTGGGAACATTGTAGCAATTTACAGTGTTTTGTGATGAAAAATATAGTACTTCCCCACATGATTTAGCCTTATTTGTAATGACTTGTTATTGTAATTCTCAAATAGCTCAATATTAAAAATATAAAATTGACAAAGATAATTTTAAAAAAATTATAAGAAAAAAACCATGTGAAGAGATACTATAACAATCTACAATATTTTGTGAGGAAAGTTACATTGCTTTCTTCAAATGATTAAGTTTTATTACGAAGTTAAATTTTAACCAACTCAATATTAAAGCTACATTGCTTTCTCCAAATGATTAAGTTTTATTACGAAATTAAATTTTAACCAACTCAATATTAAAGCTACATTGCTTTCTCCAAATGATTAAGTTTTATTACAAAGTTAAATTTTAATCAACTCAGTATTAAAAAAAATAAGATCGATGAATATAATTTTAGAAAAAAATATTACAAAAAATAAAATACAAAAGAAACTAGACAAAAACCATATAAGGAAAAACTATATCAATGCATAGTTTTTTGTGAGGAAAAACTTATATTTACTTGTAATTGTAATTCTTAATCATCTTAATATTTAAAAAATAAAATTGATAAAGATAATTTTAGAAAAGAAACATAACAAAACAGAAAAAAATCATATGGAAAAAAACATTATAGCAATCCACATTAATTTGCGAGGAAAGTTACAGTGTTTTTCTTATATATTGTAACTATAATTTTCAACTAGTTCAATATTAAAAAATAAAATAAAAAAATAATTTAAAAAAAA